GTGCTTTGTTTTTGTGAACTCATGGTATATATGGTCTATTTATAGTAGCTGGTATACAACAGATACTCTCCAACTTTCTCTTTGACAACAAAGGGTAATGGCAGGTACAAAAGTATCCTCTCCTTTACAACTTTTTAATTAAATACAATGTAACATGTAGCCTATGGTTTCAATTATACCTTTTAACTCAAAGATTGGACTAAATTATTTGGAATTTAGAATATTCCATTCTTATGTCATATTTTATCTTCCAGCTCTTGTACTGAATTCTATTTCAGCAATTATTTTTAAAATTTCCAGGATCTCTTTTCTTTATTGTGTGTTATTTCCCATAGTATTCCATTCTTGTTTCAGGAATACAATATACTCTTTTTTTCCAAAGATAACTTTTTCCCTTTTATTCTCTGCTTTTCTGTTTTCTTGAGATTCTCCCCTCCTTTTTAATCTGTTTCCATTTGGAGGATTTCTCCATATGACTTTTATGTATGAATTGTGGTGGTTTTGAGTTGGCTGTCTTCAATATAAGCACATTCAATGTTTAGCTAAGTTTCCCATTGGGGTCTTTCAACCATCAGTATTTGGAAATAAGTATCTGGTAAACTTGCTACCTCCAGTAACATGTACAATTGAAAACATACCTAATAGAGGGGCCAGGCAGTTGCAGTGTTAATAATGCAACTGGGCTCACATACGAAAGAACATGGGTTTGTGTCCCAGGATCTCCTTGAGCACATCCAGTGACTAGGCATGGGTGCCATGATCTGCACTTGCTGAGATTGGGGGTGAATAACAGAATGAAGACTCTGTTGTGAGAACCAGACTGTTCTGTCTTCTCTCTTGGAAGAAATACATAAATAAACCTTTTAAAATGTATTTAATGTACACATGGCATTTGGTAAGATGTTGGAAGCAGAATTTAGAAGAAAAATAAGAAGGCAAAGCAGTAATGGGACAAAGAAATGTGGTATTACCTGATGAAGATATTTGATAGTTTTATCAACTGGACTAGGGAGAAATGTTCACCTGTCAAAATATTCACTTTGTAAACTAAATGTGATTCAATGTATAAAAGAAAATTAAATAAAAAATGCAAAAAAAGGGAAGAAACTGGGTCTATTAACTATAATAGATAAGACAATATAAGAAAGAGACACTCAAAAATAAAGAGGTGGATATGCAAATAGAGTTG